TACATACAGGTATAATGTTGTCACACTCTCCACCCATAGTACTCCAGGGAAGTGTTTACATACAGGTATAATGCTGTCACACTCTCAAACCATAGTACTCCAGAGAAGTGTTTACATACAGGTATAATGTTGTCACACTCTCCACCCATAGTACTCCAGGGAAGTGTTTACATACAGGTATAATGTTGTCACACTCTCCACCCATAGTACTCCAGGGAAGTGTTTACATACAGGTATAATGTTGTCACACTCTCCACCCATAGTACTCCAGGGAAGTGTTTACATACAGGTATAATGTTGTCACACTCTCCACCCATAGTACTCCAGGGAAGTGTTTACATACAGGTATAATGTTGTCACACTCTCCACCCATAGTACTCCAGGGAAGTGTTTACATACAGGTATAATGTTGTCACACTCTCCACCCATAGTACTCCAGGGAAGTGTTTACATACAGGTATAATGTTGTCACACTCTCCACCCATAGTACTCCAGGGAAGTGTTTACATACAGGTATAATGTTGTCACACTCTCCACCCATAGTACTCCAGGGAAGTGTTTACATACAGGTATAATGTTGTCACACTCTCCACCCATAGTACTCCAGGGAAGTGTATACATACAGGTATAATGTTGTCACACTCTCCACCCATAGTACTCCAGGGAAGTGTTTACATACAGGTATAATGCTGTCACCCTCTCAACCATAGTACTCCAAGGAAGTGTTTACATACAGGTATGATGCTGTCACCCTCTCAACCCTTAGTACTTCAGAGAAGTGTTTACATACATGTATAATGCTGTCACCCTCTCAACCCTTAGTACTTCAGAGAAGTGTTTACATACAGGCATAATGCTGTCACCCTCTCACCCATAGGTCCCTGAGGAAGTTTAGGTATAATTCTCTTGATATAATGAACTCTGATAGAATCATTTTTTGGAAAGATGGAAGAGGATGTTTTTTTGTAATTAGCAGTGAAGTTACAAGTAATTACATCAAACTTTTTCACAGTATTGGCTTCCATATAAGTACCCACCTGCCCAAGTGTAAAGGAGACTCCAAGCAAAGGGGACCGTGTAGTGACACACGCTGGGAGGATGTAACATCAGAATACAAACATAAAGAAGGTAGGCATAATGGCACATGGTTTTGGGATCTTAACTTAAAACTGTGTTATATTTAAATTCACCATTTTTTTAGTATTTCATCGTCATTAAACAAATTATCTATTAAAATTCAACGTTAAGTTCAAATAAGTGTAATCTTTGTGCATGCTTGATAAATAGAACAGTCAACTTTAAGGGAGGGTCTGTGGTATCAATCATTAGCATTATGACATCATTATAACGATGACATCAGCACATGGGCCATGTCATTCATAGCTGATATAAAAACCAACTGAAATGATAAGGGTTATTCAGTGGCAGAGCTGTTGTGATGTTAATTAACTTGTTTGTGTTTCTAGGTTCAGATGAAGAGAAGACAGCTTTGAATAGTGCCAACAAGCACAGCTCCATGCCTGGAGAGATATATGGTCGTACGGATGATNTTTTAGTCCCTCAGCATTTTGATATTCTCATTTTCATAGATCTTTGACATATGCATATGCGAATATTCAGTGGTTATTGGAGGCTGCCAGGGTTAACGTTGAGGAGCCCTGGGATCAGCCCCCCGAACAATAAAGTGTCCACTCGCAGGTGGTCTTTCACTATTCGTACACCTTACATTCAATAGCTATGTTTATACATGTGTTATATATAAATATATATTTTATATAGTGATATTAAGTTTGTAAGTTGTCCCCGCGCATGCATGTATCAGCCACCCCAAAACAGTATCCGTCTGCGTCATGTCCCTGTAAAGTCTTTTACTTTGCACCCGGACAAGAATGGGGACGTCCATAACCTATATTACTGTTTTGTCATGTTAACCTCAGTTAACCTCACTAAAAACACATGTCACATGTTTACAGTCTTAAGAGTATTCAGTAGTGATGCTATACTTGGATTTGACAGGAAACATCATCATGGGTGTCATATGTGACACAGGAAACGACTACCTTTGGTCAAACACATATTTTCACCTCCGCTATATTTTATGATGTTGTAGGATGTGAAGTTTGAGTTGAAGCAGAAGGAGGAGATTGTGTACGGTCAGACATATGAGGTGGAGCTTGTCATAGAGAATAAGTGTGGAGAAAGTCGGGAAGTACTAGTCAACGCTATCCTAGAGACCCAGACCCCTACTGGTATCAGAGGCAGCACTGTGAAAGAGGAACAAGATGTTATCGTCCTCCCAGGAAAGGAAAGTATGATGTCTCCTTTTGTATAGGGACTAGTCAATATATAGGATTTATACTCCCAAGGTCAAGGTCATACCAGGGGTCAAATATCAGCTCCTTTTGTATAGGGACTAGTCAATATAGGATTTATACTCCCAAGGTCAAGGTCATACCAGGGGTCAAATATCAGCTCCTTTTGTATAGGGACTAGTCAATATAGGATTTATACTCCCAAGGTCAAGGTCATACCAGGGGTCAAATATCAGCTCCTTTTGTATAGGGACTAGTCAATATAGGATTTATACTCCCAAGGTCAAGGTCATACCAGGGGTCAAATATCAGCTCCTTTTGTATAGGGACTAGTCAATATAGGATTTATACTCCCAAGGTCAAGGTCATACCAGGGGTCAAATATCAGCTCCTTTTGTATAGGGACTAGTCAATATAGGATTTATACTCCCAAGGTCAAGGTCATACCAGGGGTCAAATATCAGCTCATCATGTGTCAAGGTCATAAGTTACAAGTCAATATTTCTATTATAAAAAGTTTACAGATGGATGTTTCACAATCAGAAAACATGTCACATAAAACTTTCATGTCTGTTACTGTGGAGGTTAAGGTCATCGGAAGAGGTAAAATGTCAAATCTTAAATGCATTCCTGCCCCTTATGTATGAATGACTCTAAATCAATTATTTTATGATAAATGTACATTGTATCATAACTTGACAATGTGTCACTTTTAAGTCTGATGTCAGTGATACATGGCAAAGTCAAAGATGTCAAATCATTATAATGTTTGTCTATGGAATGGCTTCCGAATGACAAAAGCTTTTTTCATGAAACTTCAGAGATTTGCCCATCATGACTAGAGAATGGTGCAGTCGGGAGAACATGCAATGTTTTACAACTTTTAAAATATGTTTGGTTTTTATAACTGAAACATTCTTTAATATAACCCTCCCTTAATTCACAATGTGGATCATCTCCTGGGCGTTTAACTAACATGTAAGTTTATGTATTAACTTGTCAAACACCCAAGAAACGATGTAAACATTAGAACCGCTAGACTCTTCAGTTCTTAACCAATATGTAAAATAAAAAGTGTGTCCATTACATGAAAGAGGGATGAGTATCGTGGACCTATTATAGGGATAGATAAGGTGCCCCAATACATGTAAGGCCTGGTGTTAATCGTTTTTTTATGTACGTATATTCTTCTAATGAATGTGACCTTGATCTGTTTCAGCTAAAAGCTTCAAGATGTCAGTGCCTTTTGAGGAGTATGATAAAGAGACCCTCCAGTTTTGTAACTTCCAGGTGCAATGTGACTGTGAGGTGAAGGAAACCAAACAAATATTCCTGGAGGAGGATTCCTTCTGTATGGACAAACTGGACCTGGATGTCACGGTAAAACCTGTCACTAACACATTCTGGTGTTACTTGGAAAGTGGACAATTTTGTGGTGTGGAAATGTTTGTGTATTTTATTCTATTTATTTATTTATTTATTTTTGGTTGAGAAAATTTCCACTCTACTGATCAATTTAATGAGCCACAATGCGAACATTTCCACAGACAAAATTTTCATTTTCACAGTAGCTGGCTAAAACACATTTAATGACCTAATTCTACATTATTATTTTTTTGTGAAGTATTTTTTTTCTTGGCAAGTCCTTGTTCTAGAGCCAAGCTCTATGATTGTCCTATCTTCTGTCTGTTTTGAGAATACTGTACCTTTTCAGATACAGTATCTTTTTTAATCACATACTGTTTTCCTTAAGAGATCTGCCTCCTTGAGAGACATTCCTCAGAAATTCTCTTTAATGAGAGACTTCCATCCTTTGAATAATTTGCCTTGAGTGGTTTCTCTCTTTAAGACAGAATCAAGCTTTAGATATCTCTTTCCCTGGGAGACAGTTTTTTTAATGCTTTTTTCATGAAGAGACTTTTGTCAATGCTCCGCAGTATGGAATTTTGAAGAGAATTAAGACAATTCTCCAGCTCCTCAAACTTAGATACAGTAACACTGATCACATCAAAGTTAACCGGTACAACTGAGGAAAATATCACCTTTGGAAGACCTAGTGTAGCAGAGTACAGCAGAAATGGCTTGATCCTAAAAATAAAGGGCATGTCTCGTATAAACATGGATAGCAGATTCATCCTGCACAACACAATATATATGTATTTATAAACTACATTTTGAAACGTGCTTTTTTAAAAATGATTTTTTTTTCAAAAAGTGATTTTCCCAGATTTGGGACCTGTGAAAACCATGGTTACCACATCAAAAAACGCCAAAAGATGCAAAAAAAACTTGATTTTTAACCCAAAATTTGACCCACACAAGTAGTATTTTTTTTTGTCTTAAATTAAATATCACCTACTCGGTAACAGAAATACTCACGTTTTAGCATAGGTCGTCCAACTGGATTTTTCACAATTTTTACACATGTGCTGAGTACAAAAATAGACTACATGAAAAGCTAGGTTTTGTTGTGTAGACACAGATTTGTAAATGGCCAAATTGTAGTCTCAAGCCAAATTCGATTTTTTTTTTAAATGTGAAGCCCATATAGTCCAATTCATCATGTATATGCCAATTTTAGAGCTGATTTTTTTTTTTTTAACTTTTGGTACATTTAATATTACAGGGGTTATTCATTGTACAAAAATATCACCCATGGCCACCGTACGCTACTGTACACTGCTACCTAGGCAATCTAAAGCAATGGCTGGACAAACGGTCATTAAAGTTCCTTATAGATAAATGCGAAACATGATGCTTGGGAAAGATATTTACAAATGGTCTACACTTATGTAAGGATCTGGATGATCTGAGACAAACAATTGAGCAGAAGGAGAAAATGGAAGAGAAAGATGGAGGAATAATTGTAGACAATAACCAAATTTTAAACAATACAGGCAGAACCTGATGACAATATGCCAATCAGCTTGTAAAAGGCTTAATATTATTCAGACCACACTTAGAATGTGGAGCATGCATTTGGAAACACGTACTACATCAGCTGAGGTATAATCATGGATCCAAGAGTACTGAGCAGAGAGCTACCAAGTTATTGCCTGGGCTGAAAGCTACTCTGTTATATTCAGTTACCAACAAAGAATGTGTCATCTTAAACTTCCATAGAATGAGCAGACAAGACATGATAGAAGTGTTCAAGAACTTGAGCGCAAAACCCGTAACATAAAAATCTAAAAGCGCAACTCATCAGATATTTAACATTTGACACTCATTACACGAGAAAAAGGCAAGCACCAAACAATTTTTACAACTGTATAGACAGCCTAAATAAATAAAGATGGGTGACAACTGTACATTGTAGGTTTACAACAAAATCGGAGTGAGGTCACATAAAAGACACTTTATATGATTTTAATCACTGACAGCAATCGAAAGAAAGAGACAGATATGCCTTTGTTTAGAACAAACCAGTTTCAGTTAAGTTAAACATAAATGACCACTCCTTTACTGACATGCTATATATATATAGACTTAATCTATTACATATCATCATTTACTAAGGTGATTCCTTGTTGTGTAAACAAAGTGAATCAATTCAGTAGCTATAAAGCATGCCAGCCCCAGGAGGATGAAATTTAAAAGTAGGAGTGTACTACGTCATCCCCTAACACTTGGTGTTTGTTCTGGCCATTTCTATACCTTCAGATAGAATTTACATATCGTTGACACCTATAATCTATAGATTTTATCATTTCTACACGAAGACCTTTGTTTGGTTTTCCACACAACAAAATTATTTTTTCTTATTTTTATCCTTTTCAAAATGACAATACAAATTTTATCTTATAATAATGTTACATTTCACGGCAACCTTTGACCTTTGTCTGTTTGCGTGCCAGGGCCCGGAGACATGTACAGCCGGCGATTCCATCACCATAGAAGCAACCTTCGTCAACCCACTACCCATCCCCCTGACCGAGTGCACACTGACTGTGGAGGGCGGCAAACAGAAGCCGCGCACTATTCCCCTTTCCCAGAGGTAGGTACTCAATATCTTCGTGTCCAAAGGGCTAGGCAATTACTAACCATTGCCCCTCAGTCACACATCATTGCCCCCCCCCCCCCCCCCAGTCACACACCACTGTGCTAGGCAATAACTAATCATTGCTCTGCTCCAGGGCTATGTTCTCACACAAAATCAATGTCATCATCATCATTATTTATGTTTTTGAATTTCCAAGCAGCATTCAAAATTATGCAAACCAATTTTTAAGAATGTCCAAAACTGTGGGACCTTACACACTGGACCTGAAACCAGAGCACTGCCCTTACATATTGTAGTCTGGTAGAGCACACACCATTGACCAACAGTCACACACCGTTGCCCTACAGTCACATACCGTTGCCCCTAAGTCACACACAATTGCCCCACAGTCACACACAATTGCCCCACAGTCACACATTATTGCACCACAGTCACACACCATTGCCCCTCAGTTACACACCATTGCCCCACAGTCACACACCATTGCCCCACAGTCACACACCATCGCCCCACAGTCACACACAATTGCACCAAAGTCTCACACCATTTTCCCACAGTCACACGCCATTGCCCAACAGTCACACACAATTGCATCACAGGCACACATCATTGTGTCACAGTCATACACCATTGTCCCAAAGTCACACATCATTGCCCCACAGTCACACACGGTTGTCCCACAGTAACACACCTTTACCCCACAATTACCCACCATTGCCCAACAGTCACACACCTTTGCCCCACTGTCACACACCATTGCCCAAGTCACACAACAATGTTCTCACTGTAATACACCATTTCCCTACAGTCAGACAAATGCACCACAGTCAAACACCATTGCCCCACAGTCACAAACTATTGCCCAACAATCACATGCCATTACCCCACAGTCACAAACTATTGCCCAACAGTCACACACCATTGCCCAACAGTCACACACCATTGCCCAACAATCATGCACCATTGCCCAACAGTCACACACCATTGCCCAACAGTCACACACCTTTGCCCCAGTCACACACCTTGGCCCCATATTCACACACCATTGCCCCTCACTCACACACAATTGCACCACAGTCTCACACCATTTTCCCACAGTCACACGCCATTGCCCTACAGACACACACCATTGCCCCACATTCACACACCTAGGACCCACAGTCAAACACCTTTGCCCAACAATCACACACTATTACCCCACAGTCACAAAGTATTGCCCCACAGTCACAAACTATTGCCCCACAGTCATAAACCATTGCCCAATAGTCAGAAACCATTGCTCCACAGTCACACACCATTGCTCCATGGTCACACACCTTGGACACACAGTCACACACCATTGCCCCACATTCACACACCATTGCCCCACAGTTACACACCATTGCCCCTCAGTCACACACCATTGCCCCACAGTCACAAATTATTGCCCCACAGTCACAAATTATTGCCCCACAGTCACAAACTATTGCCCAACAGTCACACACCATTGCCCCATAGCTACACATCATTGCCCCACAGTAACAAACTATTGCCCAACAGTCACACACCATAACCCCACAGTCAAACACCATTGCCCCACAGTCACACACCTTGGACACACAGTCACACAACTTGGACCCACAGGCACACACCTTCACCCAACAGTCACACACTCTTACCACACAGTTACAAACTATTGCCCTACATTCACATACCATTGCCCCACAGTCACACACCATTGCATCACAGTTAAACACCATTCCCCCATAGCCACAAACATTGCATCACAGGCAAACACCATTGCCCCACAGTTTCAAACCATTGCCCAACAGGCACACACCAATTTCTCCACAGTCACACACCATTGCCCCACAGTCACACACCTTGGACCCACAGTCACACACCATTGTCGACAGTCACACAATATTACCCCACAGTTACACACCATTGCCCTATAGTTACACACCATTGCCCCACAGTCACACACCATTGCCCAACAGTCATACACGTTTACCCCACAGTTACACACATTGGACCCACAGTTGCACACCATTGTCAAACAGTCACACAATATTACCCCACAGCTACACACACCATTGCCCTACAGTTACACACCATTGCCCAACAGTCACACATGTTTACCCCACAGTTACAAACCATTGCCCAACAATCATGCACCATTGACCAACAGTCACACTTCATTGCCCAATAGTCACACACTGTTGCCCCACAGTAAAACACCATTGCCCAACAGTCAAACACCATTGCCCCACAGTCACACACCATTGCCCACACTTTCCTACTCTGGTTTAAGAAATCTAGTTCTTTTAATACTCACAGTCTGTCCTAGTACAGGGGGAGGTCATTGTAATAGTCTCAGTCTGTCCTAGTACAGGGGGAGGTAACTGTAGTACTCTCAGTCTGTCCTAGTACAGGGGGAGGTAACTGTAATACTTTCTGTCTGTCCTAGTACAGGGGGGGGGGGTAATTGTAATACCCCAAGTCTGTTCTAGTACATGGGGAGGTAACTGTAATTCTCTGTCTGTCCTAGTACAGGGGAGGTAATGGTAATACTTTCAGTCTGTCCTAGTACAGGGGGGG